ACCTTGTCAGGAAAGATAAACTATTAATGATGCAAGCAATAAACCCTTATTTTTAAACACCTTAGCATTCTCTCTGACTTTTAATTACAACAATATATAGGAAAGATATATCTGCTTAAAATGCTAAATATACATGACCTGATTATGTACTGATGTAGAGCAGACTTTCTTTCTTTCTTTCTTTCTTTCTTTCTTTCTTTCTTTCTTTCTTTTTAAAGTATAGTACCTTCATTGTATGGTATCCATAATTACCTAAAAATAAGCAGACGTAATGGACAGACACTGAAGACTCAGTGCAAGAGTCACAGATGCCAACCATTATGCAACCATGGTATTGTTGAAAAGTGATCCTTTTACAATGACTGCAGAGTTTTATTCAATTAATTAAATAATTTACCATATTATAATGGTGCCATCAGTTAATTGGGTAGCAGATTATTATTATTTATTTTTAATACAGATCTTTAAACAGGTGACAAGTGTCATCTTAAAGAAAGCATTCTTTTCCACACTAGAGAAATGGCTCTTTTAATAAGATGAAGCCAGCAACAAAATCTTTATGCAACATCTCAGAATCTTTGCTTCAGAAGGATGGGGTTGAACTCAGACTAAGTTAGTCATGCTGTTAATTACGAGTACTGTCAATCCCCTTGCTTTCAATGGGAGCTAACTACAACTAATTTTGGGATATAACGTTTTCTTTTTAACCATGTGCAAGTTTAGATCAATAGTTTAATAACAAAATTCTATGCTTGCTTATTCAATCAAGAGTAAGTCTCATAAGTTCTGGGGGATTTACTCCCAGGCAACTGGGTACAGTACAGGAACCTGACTAAAAATCATATGATTAATATGGGTATTTTAAAAAATGTGTTGTAATACATTTTGAGGCTATATGTTGCCATGATTTGGTATCTTATCATAATTTATTTCTGTTCCATTCCAATTATTAATACTTACAATTCTCCTATAAGAGTGATCTTAGGATGTAAGTGCCATGCTCAGAACAACTGTTGCATGGTCTGGCTAATTATGGGGGAAGAGAAGTATGTGGAAAATAATTGTTTTCTGTGTCCTCCTTACCATCATCTAAAAAACAAGCTCTTGCAGCTTGTGCATTTCCCTGCCATTAAATAGGAAATACAATGGAGATTAAGAAATTGCTTCAAATACTTTGTTTAAATATTGTAAGCCGTCCTGAGATCTTGTATAATAGGATGGCATACAAAAGGTTTTAATAAATAATAATAAATATATAAATAAATTCTTCCATTATTGTAGGGGGTTTTTTAAGCTTCCCGTGTCTGCTAAAATATGAACATGTAAGCCATGTTCACACTGTGTCAAACTATTCAGAGCAATGGCCCTCAGCACAGAGGTCTGTAGAGACGGACTGGCACAAAGAGGGAGCCAGAGAGAATGCTGAATAATCCTTAAATGCTGTATTTTTCACTCTGGTTTTCCTCACTAGCGTGGGCAAACACCAGCAGATAATCCTAAAGATATGTCATCCTCAAGAAATGTTTCTCCACTTCTGATTTAAAGTATGCATTGCAGACAGAGGGTCAGCCTCTGTCACATCATTATAGAGTTGAATACAACAGCCAGTATATTTGGCCGTACCTGGCTTTAGGCAATGATATGGAGGGGGGGGGGCATTTTGGAGGGAAATAATGAGCTTCTACAGACCCTTCATCTGATTGCTGCTTCTCAGGATATCCTGAAATTGGCTCTGCTGGGTATATCTCAGTTAAAGCAAACCATTCATCCTTGGTACTTTCTGCCTTCCTATTTTTGAGATAGCTTGAATCAATTTTGTCTGACAGTATGTGATAATATTACATTTGTAACACTGAAATTACATAAAAATGTGGACATTTCCTTTGAAAATGTACTATATATTATCAAAATTGGTTACAGAAAAATTAGATACCTTTTGAAAAGCAACCAAGTACTGTATAACAGCATTTCACTGCAGTACTAGCCTTGTCTTACAGAAGCCTATTTTCATCTCCTCTTTTGTAACTTGTACAGAGAAGACAGTTTGATACTATATAGAAATTTTTATCTTAGCAGAACTAATGCTAGTTCACTCTTTGAGGCCAAACAAGCAAAGTGTTCTGCTATCTTAGAATGTGAACAACTGTGCAGTGACCATTGTCGAATCAGCCGGATCCAGAGCAGATATAACTGTGCAGCTTGAAAGATTGTTTCCGATTATTTAGCTATAAGAGTCTATTCACATGCCAGTGAATTGTATAACTGCATACACCAAGGATGAGGAGCACTGGGTAACCAACTGTGCCCCAGTGCTAGTACAAATGACGTTGCACTAGTGAAAACCAATGCCTGTGCAGCATAACTAGCTTTTGCTAAGGCAATGAGCAATACAGCAGTTGCTGCTGAAATCTAGGATGCTGGGGCACAGTTTTAAATACAAAGTTTATAAACTTCACATGCATAGCACCTTCTATGAAACCAGCATGGGAAATAAGTCCTTAGGTTAGTTTTCAATTCACAATTAAAAACAGAAAAAATACTTTTAAAGTTTAATCTTTATGTGTTTAGAGAATCAAGTGCATTTTCATTCTTCTGTAATACCTACATTATGTGAATAATTCATGCATCCAAGTATGGCATCATAAAACTGAAGCAGTCCAAAAGAACTAAATTAATGCACTCTGCTGCTAGCATTGAGAAGACAAGCAAGAAGTACACCAAGAATGTATAGCTAAGAAAAAAGGAAGTTACATGCCTCTTCCCAGAACATCTTACTGTCATAGCCACAGCTGAGATTTAATGAAGACAATATTTCTTTAAAGTGTCTTTATATGGCAGTTATTAAAAGAGAGAGAGAGAGAATAACAAATTCTAGCTATTTCTTACCACAGATAAAGTGGTTCAAAGGACAAGACAAATTTTAGAGAAATTTGACACACCAATTCATTACGGCACTAGGAATATAGGGTGGTTGTTGGTATTTTTTTTTAAGTTGGACTAATGGGGAAGTTGACAGACAAACCAATGAAAAACTACAACTTCCTTTCCAGCAGAGAAAGCATAAATATTCACAGAAATTCGAGCAGAATGAAAAGCTCCTGCTACTTCTAGATTAGAATATACAATTGCATTCGATTAATGAAAATTTAAATTAAAGAGTTCTTCCTGCTTAAGATTAAAGACAAAACTGGTTGAGTAGCTTTCAGGAATATATTTGGGTCCCAGGAGCCAAAATCCAATATGCTGTAATTGCAATAGAATCTGATATGGCGTTATCGCTCTCCCTCCCTCTTTCCTTCCATTCTCCCCTCTCAAGAACACAGTCCATTAATTGGAATAAGGGAAATACATCATAGTTACAATAAGGCTGCTGAAACAAATAGCCTCCTGCCCCCAGTCATAAGGACTGGAAGGATGAAAGCAAAAATCCTTATGCTGCCAGCATACTACAAACTCTAAAATGTGAAAGAAAATGACTGAGGTTCACATTGTTTGCTTGCAAAACCCCAGTTTTGCAACCAGGACTTGACAGACCTTCAAAGTCTGTATCTGGGGAACAGATGCATAAACATTTTAAGCATAAGGGGCTACCCAAAAATGATACCGACATAAATGTCTTGCAGACACTTCAGAACGTGCAGCCCATCAAATGTTTTAACTACCATTGTTCATTTAATTGCCTTTTCAATGCCAAACCTAGAGCAAATGATCAGGAGTCAGACAACAGAGACAAATGGCAGATTTAGCTAGCAGGCAGATTTATCAGCCAAGTATATGTGGTTTGCCACTGATAATGTCCACCAAAACTAGTAGTCAGTTCCATGCATCTGAGGGCCTTTGGGCAAGACACCTTCAATAAGTCCCCTCCTCCGTAAGTCTACCTTCTCACCCCCATTGTCACCAGCTGTTCTTGCTGCTCATCCTCATCAGTGCTTCCATTTGTTTGCTTGCCAGGGAGAGCCACTGAGCAAGAACGCAACGGCATCTCCTGCTCCTCCCCCTCCCCCTCCTTGTCATCCATATCATTGTCTTGGTCAGAGCAAGAAGCAGATGAATAAGCATGGTAAAATGGTAAACAAGAGGGACATGTCCAGAGGCTGCCATTGGTGTCTCCTTTATGCCAGCTCTCACTACTAGTTGTAACAACAAGGTTTAGGCCAAAACCAAAATCACTATCTAGGTTTGGAACTGCAAAAGGGCACTCTTCATTGGACCTTGCAAAACTCTTCCAAGAGTTCAGTTGCTGAAAACTTCTAAATATTTAAACTGATACATAATTTTGTCTACTTAAAGTCTAAACATGCCAACCATTCAACCAATGCGATAGAAGAAAAATGGCACACAAAAAAGTGTCTGTTCTGATCAGTTATTTTGTACTTCAAAAACAATATGAGCAATGTAGAATTCTGGTTCCCCTTCAAGATATATTTTGGCACATTTCCTCCAGACCGTGGGGTAAAATTCAAGACTCATTGTTGCTATACATGCAGTAGCTCTTTGTTTACTAAAAGGCAATTCAAACTATTGTGATGACACATTGTACATTACATCCACTGGAATGTACTACCTCAGTGACATAAGTCATAGGAGATCACATTTCTTTTGATAGGACTCTTGTAGCATTAACAGGTGTAGAGCTACTGTCTCAAAGTGAAAGTTGGAAGCCTCCCTATATGCACATTTTCCATATGCAGGAAGATGTTGATGTGGGGAGTCTTTCAAATAAATGGCACAATCTCATAAAAGAACATAAAGTTGGATTCAAGGATCTATTTTCCATGAAAGCAAGAATTCTGCTTGCAAAAATTCCTCCCCACAGCAGGAGGGGTGGGAAAGTCCACTTTCACTAGCAGTTGATCCCTGATTGAGATCTGACTCTATAGCATTCTGATCAAACATATGAATCACCTTCAAAGATACCCCAGAGACATGTACAACACATAAACCAGAGGGAGGGAGGGGTTATATGTTTCAGGATCTCCCCTCCCCAGTAATCTTGCCTTGTTGAAATCTTCAGACGTTGCTCTCATCTCCTTCCATGTCTTATTCAACAGCTGGATGCAAATACAGAAGAACTCTTCAAATGACCTATCGTGTGTGAAGAACATTGGGTGGAAATCATTGCAGGTCTCACTGGCTAAAAAGAAATAAGGAAAGAATAAAATTTAATAAACCATTGACAAAAAGATCCTACTAGGGGAAAAAATCAGCAACAGTGTGATTAATTGGATTGGGATAATAAGAGAGTCAAAAGACAAACAGATCAAACTGTCACATCTCCAGAAAACAAGAAACAATGGCTTCATTTTATTCTGTATTAGAATAGAATCTTATTCATTTACAGTTATAATGCTGCCTCTTTTCCATAATGAAAACCAAGGAAATACATAGGGATTCCCAGGAGGTCTCTCATTCAGTCCCTTTATTTAGCTTAAGGAAGTTTGCTGCTTCATGTGTGAGAAGAGAATTCACTGGAATCATCTTACTGTTAACCCTTATTCAACTAGCTTGAATAAAGATTGCCATTTTCAGAATGACTAATCACCCAAAGCAAGAGTCTGGTTGAATAGCTAGCTAGCTGGCTATGCACCTGGTCACAGCTCTTCAGGTATAGATATCAGAGCCGAGTGGGGCAGAGCAGCATGCTCAGTCTCCTGCCACCTCCATCAACCTCCCGCAGGACTGAGCAGCACTTTCTTCTTCACTGAGAAACAATTCTCTTTGCAAAATTAAGCACTGTTTTAACATGGCAGCTAAGAAAGAGACAGGAAAGTGAAGACTGGGAGAATGTACAATTAATCAAAGAGGATGTTAAGGATTTATTTGCTAAGGAGATCCAAAATTGTGAGCAAAGGAGAGAAGAGAAAGTCACACAAAGAAATAAAGAAGATGGTGGTAAAAATAATAGAACTTAAGTTTTAAACAAGGAGAAAAAAGAATATGAACATTAATTCAGGAAAAATAAAAGAAACTGGGGGAAAGGAAAACACTGGATATAAACTCTTTTTATTTTATCATAAAGATTATGATACATAATTAAATGAATTGCAACAGCAGGAAGAAATTTGTAGTAAGATGAGAGCTATTAATGAAAAAATGTACAGTGGCTATTCAAGAAGTAACTACAGAGCAACTTATTCAGTTAGGAATAGTTAGATACTCAGATAAGAAAGTGTAATGTGAAACTAAAAGGAATTCCAGGGGAAATTGAAGGGGACAATTTAGTAAACGATTTAGAAGAATTCTTCAGGGAGATTCTGGAATGTGAAACAAGTACAGAAATGGTTCATATAATACACTTGAGCTCAACCTGTAGGGAAAAAAAGATAGTGATATCTTTCTTAAAATTGTAATTTTTACATTTTAACTTATAAATTCAACAAAAGGCATTATGATCTATTACTTGATTTAAAAGATGCATGCAGCTAAACTTAAGTCCTCTCAGTTATACATCCATAGATAAAGGAGGGAAATGGAAAGTCACATTTCTTGATTCTTTGTTTAATAGAGGGGAATAATAGGCATGTGTCTGCTGCCACTTCAGACTCTGAAAAACTCTACTCAGCCAGTGCAAAACATGCATAGTAAAGTACAGGCACCTACACATTTACCAAGGTTCCCTACTGTGCCATTAATCTGAACACTGCATACAACTGACAGCTGCTGTTAAAGTAACAGCAAAGCAACTTTATTAAATGACAATGAAAACCTATGTATCAGGCCAAAATAAATTGAGCCCTCAAGTATCATACCCTGCAATTGCCACATGACACTTTTCTGTTTTGTTACATTGTTTTCCACACTAAATTAGGGAAGAATACATTTGCAAGGCAAATACTGGGTTCTCAACCTTATGTCCCAGTTGTAACACTAATGCAGGGAACATGGCATCTGCAAAGAATAGGCAAGTGTAAGGACATGTTTAGCTCAAATACCAAATTTTGTTTACAGATGCTTCTACTGGCTTCCCCACATGAATGACGTGTCGGACGCCCTTGCAGGTACAATAATAATTACTCCCCCCCCCCACTGCTAATTTTGTAATCTCATGTTAGGAATTTACCAATTTGTACTTCCCAAGTCAATACGCAAAATGGAGCACATCTGACCTTTGGTATTTACACTTCTCCAGATTTTCTGATGCAGTTCTCCAAACCAAAAATGTATATATCAGGATATGTACAAAAATCATACATTAGGAGAAATGCAAGCAAAAATCTATGTGAATTGCTATACAGAATAAAAATAAACATGTAGCAAACTGGTGTGGAAACAGGATGGAATGAAAGTCTGAAAAATAAGAAACCAAAATGATCTATTCCTGTTTACTACCCAGACCTGTCAACCCTTCAACTATGTGGCATGCTATTTGCAAGATAATGTTTAGAAGGTCTTTCCTCCTTGTTCAATGCTGTGTGAAGTCCAAACTCACAAATCAACATACCAAACATCATCATAGGCTTCTCAAAATTCATGACATCTACAGAGGTAAAGATATCTAGACATTTAACCTCAGTCATTGCTGTTGTTATAGCACATTGTGTCTTTAACCTACAGGATGGCCACAGAACAGAGGCTCCAGATCCCTTCTCAGGGTGCCATGTTCCGATTATAATGCCAAAGCCTAGAGCTTCTTTTTAAATATGGGTTTTAAATGTAATGTCAGACAGATTAAAATCCAATCAGTTTCTCTCCGTTATCTGGTTAAGGGTGGGTTTTTAATTGAATAATCCCTAATTTAATAGTCCAGGTCCAATAAGAGTTCATTATTTCCATGGCTGGATACTCAAGTTGTTGGCTTCAATCTACAAGTCAGGTTTGAGTCATTAAAAAAGATGAGTGGTGTCAGGGGTCTCATTTCCAAGGGTGCATGGCACCTTCAATTTCCATTCATTCTGACTGCAGCTGTGACTGAACAGAATTTCTGATCATCAGACCTTCCGCCTGTAATTGAACACAACAGTAGCAAATCCCAAAGGGCATTTGTAGTTGTCATCAAACACTATTTATATTAGCATGAGCAAAAATAAAACAATGCAGCTGAAACAGTGCCATGAGTGCAAGGAGATGAAACCAGGCAGTGGCCTTGAAAGATCAAGGTCCTTAAAAATAAAATCTTACAGCCTCAGTTGCTCAGTGTTCTTTCAAAAAGCAGATGAAGCAAAAATGAGAAAGTTTACTATTGCTTTCAAAACATCAGCTTTTAGGTTTCCAACATTATTTGTGCCAGCAAGTGGAACAAAAAATAAGGTAAAGTTGGAATGATCGCCTATGTTTTGTTTATTAATCCTTGAATGATTATCCCAAGATTTTACCCAAACAGAGTCTTATTTGAAATCTGGAACTACAAAACAGAGACAGAATGGCCCTAAGCTGCATTAGAATCCTAGGCCAAATATAAGAACTGGCATAGGCCATTTGAGGAGGCTTTGTTATTCTCTGCCATAGGGAATATAGCTGTTGAGGTGCAGGAAGGAAACAGGTGAGGAAGAAACTCACGTCTAGCATCAAGAGAATTACACTACTAATTTTATCTAAACACAGCAACAATCTAGGGCAGCCTTTCCCAATCTTGTGCTTTCCAGACATGTTTGGAATACAACACCTGGAATTCCCTGTCAATTGCCCTGCTGGATGGGAATTCTGAGAGTTGCAGTCCAAATGCCTCTGAAGGTCATCAGTATGGGGAAGAGTAATATAGGGAACACCTTTCTGCTGTGGGCCAATCAAAATCTGAGGCCCAGTCTCCTCCAACAATTCCTAGAGTGTAGTATTTCAGATTCCAAATGTGCATGTGCAAAAGAATTGCATGACTGAATGCTTACAAGTTGTTCTCCTTTATCCCTACAGGGTTGTTGCTCTAGGCTAGGCTATGAGGCAGAGACTGGGCCAAAATCACCCAGTAGGTTTCATGGCTGTGGGGACTAGAACCCAAATCTCCTGAGTCCCAGTCCAGCACTTTTAACCACCACACAACACTGGCTCATAAACACCATTTAAAACATGCCTCCCTGAGCACAGAAAATTAGATGTTAGAAAGAAGAGTTATGCTAGTATTTTATATGGGTAGTTGGTCCGATAGTTGAGAGATATTCACACATGGAATCTGTTGTAAGTGGGCCAGGCCCTTACTCTTCATGGACTTTCCAAAGCCCTGTCATATCAGATTCTGAAAAGGATATTAAAAAAAGGTGGTGGGAGGGCAAGAGGCTCAAAGCGGGGCAGGAGCCTTTGAACCGCCATCATGTTTGCTTCCCACAGTTTCCCAGGGTGACTGTGAGAGCAGACATGTTTTGGAAGAAATGGGAAGGGGCCCAGAAGAGAGGAAGCTATTGCCTTGGCTGATCCCTGGTCCTGCAGTGTGGCATCTGGAGAGACAAGTTCCTCAGTTAGAGGGCTTGTGAAGGGCTGGCTCTCCACTATTGGGAGTTCCCTAAAGGTGAAGCTCACTGCATGAATGAAAGGTAAGAATTGGAGAGAAGGTTCCAGTTTGGACTCAACACTCACTCAGCTTGCTAGAGTGCTTTAGAGCTGCTTTGTCTTGTTAGGTGTGAAGTGCCAGTAAAGATCCGCATTGCAAAGGACTGTCTGGTGTTTTGGTGCTTACAGCAAGAAAGGAAGCCCTTGGCGCTCTACAAAATCTACCACCTAAAGAGTCAAGTGGCACAAGGCTAGGACAGTTTTATCAGATGACATACTGTCTCTGTGCACCATACCTCAATCTGAACATTTCTAAAACAATTGCTTTGACATACTATTCCTGTTTAGTGAGCATTTTGTTCTACTGAATTTACTGCTTCATTTCTAGACATTGCCTCTTACTCTGAAGGAAAAACAAAATCATTTTTTAAAATGTAAAGCTGCAGAAGAGGCACACACTTAAATGATCACTTACATGCATCAATTTCTGGTAATTCAAATGTACGAGGGGCATTCAATGTATTCTTAGTATCGGGTTGATTTGCTATTGATGTAATTTAATTATTTCATTAGCTAATGACACTGTCTGAGGGTATACATGCAAAATTTCAAATAAGTGTGATCATTAGTTCCCTAGTAATCCTCAGTGAAAGACGACCATAATGACTGATGCAACAATGTTGAAGAAAATCAAGCACCGCGCTGTGATTAAGTTCC